ACCCTCACCCTAACCCAACCCTAATCCTAACCCTAACCCTAACCCTAACCCTAACCCTAAACCTAACCTAATAACCCTAACCCTAACCCTAACCCTAACCTTAACTCTAACCCTAACCCTAACCCGTGTAGACCGGCGCCCATACACAAATCTATCTGTACACACATATATAGTTACATACATACATACATACACGCACACACACAGGTACCAAAAAAAACCCCCAAATCTATATCTGTACACATATACACAGGTACATACATACATACACACACACGAACGGACGCACATGTGAGCACATGTACACGGATCCAGACATGCATGCGTGCACGCACAGACATGCATGCACACACAATGAGATGCACGCACGAGCACATGTACACGGACTCAGACACGCATGCGTGCACGCACAGACGCACGCACACACAATGACGTACGCACACAGACGCGCATTCACGCTCACACAGAAACAGATGCTCACGCGGCTGCACACACAGACACACACACTAACACGCAATGAGATGCACGCACGCACATGCCGACGCGGACATTCGACGCGCACGCTCATGCACATACACACAGGCACACACGTGCAGAGACACACACGCATGTGCACACACAATGAGACGCACGCGCAGGCACATGTACACGGACCCAGACACCCATGCGTGCACGCACAGACACGCACGCACACACAATGAGACGTACCACACAGATGTGCACTCACACTCACACATAGAAACACACGGACGCTCACGCGCCCGCAGACACAGACACACACATTCACGCGCAATGAGGTACATGCACGCACACGCCGACGCGGAAACTTGAGGCGCACGCTCATGCACTCACACAGACATGCACACAGGCACAGAGACTCACTCACGCATGCACACACGCAATGAGATGCACACACAGACAGGCACGCAGTCGTGCATGCTCACGCACACACACAAAAACGCACACATGAAGAGACACGCACAGAGATTCAGGCACACTGGCGTGCGTGCACACGCATGCTCACACGCAGACATGTGAACACACGCTCGCACAGAAACACGTACACACGCAACACACGCGCACGCAGATGCGCATGCACACACATGCACAGGCAATGAGACGCACGCACACGAGCTGACGCAGAGACAAGCGCACACACGCTCACACAGAATATATGTTTACTTTTCGAATTTGAGATCAGTTTCAAATTTTGACTTTCCATGCCCAATTGGCTATTTACCAACAAATGCGAGATACGCCCTGGCCTAACTCCTGAAAAAGAGGTCGCATCTGGAAAACATTTGATTTTTCGGGTTCCCCAACCAGTGGGGAACCTGAATATATGTTTACTTTCGAATTTGAGGTCAGTTTCAAATTTTGACTTTCCATGCCCAAT